GGTTTGAGCATTGCCCAGTTGATCTAATACACAATGCCAGGTGTCCATATATCTTGTGAGTCTGCTGTGAATCATACTATTTGTGCAGTTGTACAATTGTCTAGCAAACGAGTAGGGCAGTGAGAAATATAAAGCAAAAAAGAAACAGACATACCTAGATACAGACATAATCTTCTGTACCACACTGTGTGTGTATGTGTGTAAGGCACATAAAGGATGTAATAATCTCTGACATGGATATAATGAAGGTGCAGAAAGTTGAACAGATGGAAGGAGCGCTGGATCATGATCAATTTCCTTTATGTCTTCTACATTTTCAACCTATGTGTAATAAACGTGTATGGCAGGCACATGTTTAATTAATAATGCGGTACATTTATAGGTAGACCAAATATATTTCATAAGATAGAAAACCGTCACAATGATGTGCAACAAAATGTATTTGATATCCTCTAGGCAGGTATTATTTAAGTGCTTTGAACTTACCAGCCAAGACCAGTTCAGAAGAAAGAAGTCAATGCAAAGGAAACCGTGGCTACAGCTGGACTTTGGCCACTCTACTGGGCTTCTCAATGGAACATGAGGTACCTGCAGACAAGGGAAAAGAACAGACTTGATTTTGCTGTCTCTGCCTCTGGCAGCAACGTTGCCCTCTGCAATCGGAGAAAGGCAATGTTATGAAGAACTGTGGTCCAGCCCACTTCCCATTCCCTTTCTGTCCTTTAGTCCATACAGTGGCCACAGTGGTCATTGTAGGTCTCTCGTTTCTAGGGTTCCCCATCCCAAATGTACCTCTCAGTTATAGGATACATCTCCACCTAGTGGTACAATTTTCCCCTTACAAAGCACACAGTGCATGCTCATTCTGTGATGTGTGAAGCAGCCCACTGTTCAAAACTGGCAAGAGATATTCTTCATAGCAGAAGGCAGATAGATAGATAGAGACACACATATATCTGATCTGTAGAATATTCCTTTTTGACCCCAAGATAGGAACTGTACGACATGACAGAAAGTGTCAGAATCTTTACAAAAAATAACTCCTTTAAAAACAAAATAAATAAAACTATCAACAAGAATAGCAACTGCTCAAAATTTATCTCAGAGCTGCCAAGAAGTGAACATTCATGGGAGAATGTTCTGTTGTTTTCAATGTTCTGTTGTTCACAAGGTGGACACAAATGCATACAGTTGGATGCTGACAACTTGACACATGTCTAATGAATCTAAAGCATGTGCACACACGCACAAACACACAAATTTACTAGGACTAAAAAAAACCCTTAAAAAAACAAAAGCCCTGCCAAACAAACCACTTCAAGAAGATTTAATAGCCATGTAGGTTTTTGTGTACCTTAAAATACCATAGATGCTTTGTTAAAAGTGACAGTTAACATCTGTGTTGAAGATGCTACATTCTAACAGAGTGAGCTGCCGTTTGTTGAGTCCAGTGAGCAGATGTTGGAGGCCTAATGCATTGGTGACAAAAGGCTACAGTGCTTTAACCTTCCGCATCGCTTCTGTCTAACACACAGCAGAAAAGGTTTTAATTTGACAGGTTGGCTGGGATATAGAGAATTCAGCTTTGGCCACCTACAGAAGAGCCAAATCTAGTCATGAGAACAGTAGTGTGGGGGGAATGAAGAAGCGGGTGAGAGTAGTTTGTCATCTTGCACTAAGTGGAGAGCTATATATACTGTTTATTTCTACAAAGATTTAAAAGGGTTCCTATTGGAAGTTAATTAAGCAATTAAGCCGATTTGTCCTTTAATGTGCAAGGAAATATTTGAGTAAGGTGAGTTGGAAAAGGAGTCAGCAGCTCCTAGCACATTTTGCCTGTGCAAAATGTTTTAAACACCTTTTTCTCCCTGTGGTTGGGATGATGCAAGAGAGGAGAATTAAAATGAATGCACAACCTAATGGCAATTCTCATACAAGCTGCATGTAAACAGAAACATCAGCACAAAACTTATGAATCTTAATTTGTGCCACTGAGCTAAAATTTGTATCTTTCTGCATTAAAGGAATATAGACATACAGCACTGTGTAGTGTCTACTTGCAATACAGAAAGCTGACATGGTCTTTCCAATTTATGGGAAAATTGACATAATTTTGCAAAAAGGGGGGTGGAGAGGGAGAGAGAAGCAAAACCACTTGTGAACTAGATTTTGCATAATGGGATTAATTTGGTTGACTGTCACATCAGCTATGCTGTAGAATGCAAGTTAATCACAACATCGATATGATTTTTAAAGAAGAAAGAAAAATAGGGGGAAAGGGAGGAAGAAAAGGTATTTTCCTCCCTTGTCTGATTCTCCTTTCATTTTAAAATACTTCCCATTTCTACTGTTATGTGGAGGTGCTATGACAAATAATGGAAGTCTGTTTTGCATTGGGCCCAAGAAGACTGAAATGAGCTAGAGCCGGCCTCACTCTGGTAAGAAAATCATCAGCTTTTCCTGGATCATGTAAAATGGTTTTGCGGTAATGCTCTTAGCCACGCAATGGCTCGCTGTTTAATTTGATAACCAAGCTTTCTGCATTTGTCAAGAAGCATTGAAATGTCACCAATGCATGCTTATCTGAAACTTTGTGTTTCAGTTGTCACAGAATCCTTCATTGCTAGGGCACTTACCTTGTCCTTTAGGTAGATGTGCCTGTACTGTGCCTGCACTGGCTGCAATCAGCAACTAGGCCTAGCAAATGAAAGCAGGTGAAGGTGGCACCAAGAAGCCAATTCTAGGGTTAATTCAGTTCAAATGTTGTTTGTGTCAGACTCCTTTCAGGATCTGCATCTGGGACTATTGCCCTACATGTCCAATGGATACCCAACTTCATATTTCAAATACAGCCACAACTGGTTCTCCCAATGTAAGATTACTCATATGAATTGTATGTGTACTTGTACCCATATCAATCTTTTCCTTTTTTACTGGGGTTGTGAGAGGTTATTCCAACAGCCCCTTGTTCGGCTATTGTAGTATCCCATTGCTACTGCAAGAGCAAATCATTTCTCTTTATTTTTGTCCTCACAGAGTTCAATTATACTTTGACAGAATAATTTCTTTGCTTAAGTGTTTTTCAGGAGAAAGCTCACCAGGAAGAGAAACACTGCAAGGCGCAGTAATGCCTTAGGGTCATGTAGCAGGGGTTTGTGAAGTCATTAGAAGTTGTGATTACCTGCTAGGATATTTCCATGTATCCTTTGCTGATTCACTTAGTGGAGGGAACTCTGGTATTTTACACAGGCTAGTTTAAAGGATAAAGTGATATGTTGTCACATACTGACTGTCTCTTACACAGGCACATATGGGAATAAGAGTAGTAGCTGAATGCAAATGGATCTCCCCATACCAGGGATGGTCTGCAGCCCTCCAGATGTTGTTGCTCACCCATCAGCACCAACCAGCATGGCTAATGGTCAGTAATGATTGGAGCTATAGTCCAACAACAGCTGGAGGGACACAAGTCTCCCCACATCCCTATGCTAGATAGGCAGAACAGTAGCATCAAGCTGTGGTCGTGAAAGAGAACTCAGAAGTCAGGTGTAAAGTTCATGCTTTTGCAGGTGGCCTTTCTAGCTATTTTTGTCACAGCTGGAACCATCAGTGAAGGAAGATGGGAGAATGTCAGGTGTGAGGAGACGATCAGCAGAGGAGGCAGAGCAAGGCTCAGTGCACTACTGAGAGCAATTGAAGGCTAGAGACAGTATGACTCCGTAGCAAACGAGACCCACAAAATAACAATGGATAGGGAACTACAGTGGTGCCTCGCAAGACGAAATTAATCCGTTCCGCAAGAGTCTTCGTCTAGCGGTTTTTTCGTCTTGCGAAGCAAGCCCATTGACGGATTAGCGCTATTAGCGCTATCAGCTGTTTAGCGGCTATTAAAGGCTTAAAGGCTTAGGGGATTAGCTGCTAAAAGGCTATTAAAGGCTATTAAAGGCTTAGCAGATTAGATAAAGGGGGGGGAAAGCGAAAAAAAATCTCAAGACTCGCAAGGTATTTTCGTCTTGCGAAGCAAGCCCATAGGGGAATTCGTCCTGCGAAGCAACTTCAAAACGGAAAACCCTTTCGTCTAGCGGTTTTTCCGTCTTGCGAGGCATTCGTCTTGCGGGGCACCACTGTAACTGGTTACAGGTGGGGATTTAGTTAACTAATGAGTGAAGTTAATTCATGAATAGAGGAACAGAATTATGAGGGGTTCTGTAACTAAAAAGGAGCGGACATAATACTTGATAAGTGTGGGTGCTCTTTGGTGAGAAAGGTCCTGGAGGAATAAGGGACTCATCCAATCCATCCATCCATTCAGGATTGGCACGGTTCATAGGAAATCCAGTGGCAGCAGACTTAACCTAAACTTATAAGAAGACTAAAACCTTAATACTAAGAATACCACACCAGAAGGAAAGGAAGACAGAAAGTAGAAAGTCAGGCTCCTTCTGGCCTATTATAGTCAGCATGACCTTGAGTGAAAGAGATAACAGAACCAGTCCAAACAAGCTATTCAGCTTCTACAAAGGAATAAGCCAAACATCAGGAACCTTCTGTCTGTTTTTTAGGCAGAATAGAAACTTGCTTGTCGGCTAGAAACCTCCAGTTTGCACTAGTTTGTATCACACAGAGAAGCTTCCAGAACCCTCCTGAATCAATCCTGAATAGGAAAGAGCTCTACATATCAGATCAATACTTTCTTCACCAAAAAATGCAAACTGACGTCTGAGGGGATGCTGACCCATAGCGAAACCCTTATACTGAGGAGAAAGTAGTGAAAAATCTTACACCAGGGATCAAGGAAGGGGGAAGGAATGAAATTATGGGGTGGGAAGGAACGTACAGTTGAATTCCAAAAGACATTCAGGGAAAAGGAAATAAATTGCTTATGGAAATAGACAAAGAAAAGAAGAGAGGGTTTAGAGACAACCCCACTACAGAGTAGTGTTGAATAGGTGTGCTCTGGTTGTATTCTTCATAAATTTACCAGTTTGACTATAAATAAAGTTAAATCTTAAAAATGTAAGAGGAGACCTGCTGAACCAGGCCAAAGGCCTATCTTGCACAATAGCCTGTTCTCACAGTGGCCAACCAGATGCCCATTGGAAGCCCACAAGCAAGAACTGAATACAGCAGCTCTCTCCCCACTTGTGACTCTTAGCAACTGGTGTTCAGAGACAGCTGTAAGAACAAGCCTGGTCTGCAATGCTCTGTATCTTTTCAGTTTGACTGGTTCTATAGGAACATAAGTACAGTATGTTAAAACAAAGCTATTTCTTGCCCATCCACTCTAAAATGGGAATCTAAAAATGGCTGGTAACTTGTTTCATTTTCACCAAGGTCCATAAAATGTTCAGGCATAACAGCTCCTTCAGAGTGGATTAAGCCTACCAAATATTACATAGATACACCCAATAGTTATCATGCAGGAAACCCTAAAGCTTGACTTTTAAAACAAGGTGTTTTCATTTTCTGTCAGAATTGGATCCAAATTGCAGGCATGGTCACCTGTTCTGAGGGAATGAAGCCTGCTAAATTTTTGAAAAATAGCTGCAATGCTGGTCCTTCAAGGATAGACTTTCCCATTTTGGAGGGGTACAACAGGAACTCAGCTAGACTGGTAAAGAAAAAGCAATGTATAAGTTTTGTATATGCGATATAACATTACGCCACCAGATGGCGATGTGGAGTCCCATTCATCCCTACCTATTTCCCCTGTTTAAATTTACAACACCTTTAACTGAAATATTTATTTGATGTGTCTAAATCCAGCCTAGGAATCAATGTGGGTGAAGGTGGCAATATATGAAAAAAGAAGAAAAGTGCATGGCTCCTCAGGAAAGTCAGGGGTGGGGGAAAGATCACACACACAAACCCCCATGCAAGGAACCTGTTACCCCAACAATTGTTGGCGGGGGTGGGCTTCTGTCCTACCCCCATGGATTTTTGGTGATACAACGGAGATCTGTCAATAGACTTGAATAGAGGAGGGCATTGTACCATCTGAAAAACAAACTCAGTTTTTAATTCCTCGACTGTGAAAGGATTGCCCTGGGGAGATAATTCACTGTGATTAAAAGCTAGGCCTGTCTGACAAAACAAAAGATTCTCTCCATGTCTCCACCCCCTTCACTTCTGAGCTCTGGGCATTTCCCCAGTCAACTTGGGCTCCCCCCCCTTTCTCACCTCTAGGATATAGAATCCCCCCACCTCTTACTTTCCATGGCTTCTTTGCTCTCTGTGGGCATCCTGAAGAGGAGATTATGCCATTGAGCACTTTGGTTATAATGGACTTGAAGAATGTGCTTAGGAAATTGATCACATCATGACTGTGGTGACAGTGAAGAAGAAATAAAGGGCTGGTGGCATATCTGTGGGACTTGTGTTTGTAGTGTATCATGTCAGCGATGCTTTAAGAACCTCATATCACTGAAAGGCCTATTAACATTCGTTCATTTCTTTCTTGCATCTCTCTCCCTCTCCCCCCCCCCCCCGCCCTCTCCACACTTTTCAAGGAGCAGCACATACTATCCAGTACAGGCTCACACTGACTAGGTTAAACAATTACACTACACTAATTGGCCTGTGTCGGTCTTGATGAGTAGGTAAACAAATGCTGCACGGGAAAAGCTGAGACAAATTGTATCTAATTAAATTGATGAAAAAAAGTGACAATGACAACAAAGAAAGCAACATTCACAGTTGCAAATCACAATGCTTATGTGAAAGCACACACCTCTTATCAAAATCTGCAATTCTGCCCTGGGTGCCGGAGAGAGGAAGGTTGATGAGCCATCCCTCCCCCACACATTCGAGAAATCCCTTAATTATAGCATATAAAAAGGATTGGCTACCATCTATGTTCAGCCATATGAGCTCCTGTGTGTGTGCTCCATGCATATACAATATGTGCAAGTGAAAATAGTGGTGACTCGCCCACATTGCTAAAAGGAAAAGGTTTCTCATTTGTTCTTGCAAATTACCTCCTTCCTCCATTATATATTTACAGATGCTTCAGCTGTTCCAAAGAAGCAGCAAAAGAGGAAGCACAATTGTGTTGTGCTTCCTTTCCACCTGCTTCTGAACTTCATCAAAATAAGAACGACGTGCACTCTTGCCACTACAACAGAAGAACATGCACCGTCCACTTCAGACGAGTGTCTCATATTTAATCTTTCTTGGAACCATTGAATTGGCTTTAAGCATTAGGGCTAAGGTCAGAATGGCTAGCTTTCAATACACAAGGAAAAAAACCTTCTCATTTGCCGTTGCAGTTGCCCACCTTGCTCTATAATAAATGTGAACATTTAATGTTCACAATTGCTTTCAAATTTTAAGAATAAAAAAATATGCAAAATTAATTTAGCTTTCTGGTTTATTTTGAATTTGGAGAAGACTCAACTCAACCAGATTAGGACTGATATGACACTTTCTTCAAGGAAGATAATTGTGTGTCTTCTCTGGACCAACGGCACCACGAACATGGCACATGGCACCAAATCAGACCCTGAGCTGATTTAGTCAGAAGCCGTATAACTCGCTCACTTATTTATTTACCAACCACTTTTCCAGAAAATGTCTCAAGGTGAAATATAATAAATCACATACCATTAAATACAATAAAAACACAGTTTGGTAAAAACAAAAGCAAGCATCAGAGCACGAAAACAGATATCAAATCACAGCTCAAATACCACCCTAAAGAAGTTTTCAAGCAAGCAATAATGGACTCATGTCTAGGGAATTAAAGTGGCTCTATAGGTGCCTGTTTTCTAAATATTCACTGGAGGGGTTGGTAACTTACAGGCCAAAGATATCTGCTGGCTCCCTGCTCAGCTTCCGCCATCAGTCAGAGAAGGGAGTTACAAGTGGTTCCATCTAGGACATTGCGGATAATTCTTTAGTTTAGGAAGTCATGTGCTGTTACCTGGTACCAATGGCAGTCATAAAGTTTCCAGAGCTGCTGCCTAGTGAACCTGTCCCTGAAGAAGGCCATCAAGTTTCTCCTCCTACCAGCCGGTTTGGTGTAGTGGTTAAGAGCGGTAGTCTCGTAATCTGGGGAACCGGGTTCGTGTCTCCGCTCCTCCACATGCAGCTGCTGGGTGACCTTGGGCTAGTCACACTTCTTTGAAGTCTCTTTCCCACTCACCTCACAGAGTGTTTGTTGTGGGGGAGGAAGTGAAAGGAGAATGTTAGCCGCTATGAGACTCTTTAGGGTAGTGATAAAGCGCGATATCAAATCCAAACTCTTCTCTCCAAAATCTTCTCCATGTCACGAAACTACTGGTCTTCACCCTTATTTTAGTACCCTGCCAATCTGACTTTGGATCCCAGCCTTCAGCCTTTCTCTATGCCTACTTGCTGTGCATCCGCCTATCCTGTTCAATACAGTGGTACCTCTGGTTACAGACGCTTCAGGTTACAGACTCTGCTAACCCAGAAATAGTACCTTGGGTTAAGAACTTTGCTTCAGGATGAGAACAGAAATCGTGCAGCGGCAGCGGGAGGCCCCATTAGCTAAAGTGGTACCTCAGGTTAAGAACAGTTTCAGGTTAAGAACGGACCTCCAGAACGAATTAAGTTCTTAACCTGAGGTACCACTGTATATTCACTCAGCTTATATAACCTGAATCCTTGCAAGAAAGATTCCAAGGTCCTTGGAGGAGGCAGTAACTGGTGTGCAAATCAGGAAAGCACTTGTAAATGGACGAAATCAATGCCAATTCTGGCATTTGATACAGTAAATCACCGAATAGTGACAAATTATTTGCAATATCTTGCTTGGGTTATCTGGACTGGCTCCAGATAGAGGTGGAACTTGACATTTTGTTGGCAAATGTGTGATCCCAACCATTATTATTTATCACCAAGAGCCTACAGGGCACTTTACAACATAATACAACAATGCATTGCAGGGATGGTGGGCAGGCATACACCAAATTTTGCTTGTGTAGGAGGATCAGCAGATGCTGAATCCCTGCCATGACCATCTGATTCTCCTCAGAAAATGCCTACTGGGCCATATTTACGTATAATTTAGGATGCTGCCTGTGGGAGGACTTAAACTGCAGGGGCATTTATAGAGTAGAATTAAATAGCCCCTGTTCTCAGTTGCTATCACCTGCAAGTGCCTTCCCACTCCCCAAACTATATTTATGAAGAGAATCGATTATGGAATTCTGTGCTTCTCTCATAACATCTAGTTCTTTCTGTGGGGCATCAGCAGAGCTGAAATAATTGGGGAGTATTGTTCTGCCACTTGGAAGTTGACCTACAGTGTCCCACAGGCTTCAACATTATCACCACTGTTTATGTCCTAGGATGTTCAAATGCACCTTTTAAAAACAAAAAAATGACAAATAAAGCTTTAAAAAGAAGAAGAGGAGCCATGGCTGTACACTAAGCACTGCAAAGTCCCTTCTGCAGTAGACTTGATGGACCAGGCCTGACAGTGCCCATAGGACTCCTATCTATGTGTGTACTTACGTCAGGTTTTCTGAGGCACCGCACACTGGGCCTTAGCTGCTCTCTCAAAAACCTCAGGTGTCTCTATCACACCTTACTGATTACTTTATCTCCCTCAACAGCAGCAGCACCTCATGCAAGAGAATATCACACGATGTTTCACTCACATCTAATTGTGCTTATTCTCCTCAGTGAGTGTGCAGTTCTAAGGCCTCTTTGCTTTTACCTCAGCCAACATTCATTCACTCTTCCTTCTCTCCGCCGGACACAACCGTCTTGGTTGTCTAGGTTACTTGCTGGTTGCCGCCCATGGCTCTCTTTTTTAAAAACAAACAAATGAACAAACCCTGCAACTTTACATTATTTATTATTTCAACAAAGCTGTGAGAGATACTGATTTGGCAAAGGTAACCCTGCAAGTTTCATGGACTTGAGTCTCCAACACATAAGCCGTCAACTGTCCAGCTACTGATAGCTGTCTTAAGTCAAACGCCGGTTGCATTAATATGTGGATTGATTCATTAATTTACAGCTAAGCCTGAAAAGTAGAGAGGGGTCTGAGTTCCCTCAGATATTGCTGGATCCCAAGTCCCATTATCCTTGATCGTTGGTCAGACTGCCTGGGGCTGATGGAAGTGAGAGTCTAATAATATCTGGAGGGCCTAAAGCTCCTCACCCCAACTGTAGAGAAATCATCCATGCTTCATATTAAAGGAATGCTTGGCAAACTGATGTGCAAATAAATAACTGATTTTTGCAAGGATGCTGTTGGAAAGACCTTCTTATCAACCATATCTCAAGGTAACAGCAGCAGCAACAACAACAATAAAATAAACCAATTTAATAATAATAATAATAATAATAATAATAATGAAAAGCCTCAAGCCTGTTGCATTCCTAATTTTAATGAGGAAACAATAAGGAGGTGATAAGCTGGCAGCTGTATTTTTAGCTAACATTCCTCTTTTTAAATTTTACCTCAGTGGAATCAGGCTATATTGGTGGGTAATTTTCCATGACAAAAGATGAGGAACTCACCAGCAAATTCCCTTCTGCTAGTCGTATTGGCATCCCGTTCTTGCTGCCTAGTACAGTTAAGTTTTTTAGATACTTTACTTGCATTTCTAATTCAGTTATTCTTCTGAAATTTATTCAAAGGATTTATGCTTATGAAATTATAATATAATGCTGCCTATATGCCAATGAGCTGCAGGCAAAGAAAATAATTTTCTTCAATTTACAGTTATGAGGCTGGAAGAAAATGATGCCTTCTTATCACCTCTTTTTCTTTGTATGTCTCTCTCTCTCTCTTTTTTAGTCTTCAGAAGGCAGGAACTGATGATGAATTCTTAAGCAGATCACACTGATAATTGTATTTCAGAACTGTCATCTCTGAGAAGACTGTCCACAGAGGTGTCGCAGTTCACTTGAGCTCTCTGTGTCATTGCTTCTCCAAAAGCTCAGCCCTCAATAATATTTTTTTAAATAATAATAATAAAAAACACCCTAAATCACTAGGGATATTGTTAAGTCTTCTGAAAGGATTATTAGATGGGGGATTTATAGATGACACTTTTTAACAATTAAACAGGAAAATGTTGATGAAGTTAAGTTGCCATTTTGTACTGCAGCCATAAAGGTGTGGGTGCAGAATGCTGCAGCGAGACTCCTTACGGGGTCTTCGCTGCGAGATCACATTCACCCGGTGCTACACCAGCTGCACTGGCTCCCGGTGGAGTACAGGATCAGGTTTAAGGTGCTGGTTTTAACCTTTAAAGCCCTATACGGCCTAGGACCCTCATACCTACGGGACCGCCTCTCCTGGTATGCCCCACAGAGAAACTTACGGTCTTCAAATAAAAACATCTTGAAGGTCCCAGGCCACAGAGAAGTTAGGCTGGCCTCAACTAGAGCCAGGGCTTTTTCGGCTGTGGCTCCGATCTGGTGGAACGCTCTGTCACAAGAGACCAGGGCCCTGCGGGACTTGACATCTTTCCGCAGGGCCTGCAAGACAGAGCTCTTCCACCAGGCCTTTGGCCAGGGCACAGCCTGACTCCCTCCCTCGGCAATCTTCGCGGAGCTCTGGCCCAATAGTTGCCAGTGGCCTGAATTAATTAATTTTATAATGAATGATTTTAGAGTGTTGTTTATGCTATACTTTTATACTGTTTTATTGTTGTTAGCCGCCCTGAGCCCGGCTTTGGCTGGGGAGGGCGGGATATAAATAAAATTTATTATTATTATTATTATTATTATAGATGTATTCAGATATAATATTTATTATATATATATATATATAATTAGCTGCACAGCATAGTTACTGTATTTTTCTGCATATAAGACGATGGTTTTTGCTAAAATATTCAAGTCAAAAATTGGGGGTCATCTTATACACCGATGGTGAATGCACAGGGGCTCTGGCTCTGATGTGGGTGGCCTGGGCTCGGGTTCGAGCTCTTGAAATATGGCAACCCTAACTTTGGGAGACCTCCCCAGCTCAAAGTTGTTCTGTTTGATCTTTAAAATATTCATTTCTTAACTTTGTGTTCAAAAAAAGAGGGGCCGTGTTATACATAGGGGCGTCTTCTACACGGTAATTGTGACTGGGTTTTTGTTTAGAACATTCTTAAATGAAACTTTGCTGTTCACAAATAAACTGTGGTGGGGACTTTAATTCATCAAAACAAAATCAAACCGAGATTTTTGAAGGCCACCCAACCTTATCATTCTGAGTAGCCTTCTGTAATGAATGAGCTTAGCTGGTTGTAAAATAAAGGTAAACAATGTTTGCCTAATCCTGACTTTCTCTGGCAGGGCCATGGTGTAATATACAAACTTACACTTGTGTGCATGAAAGGGTTAACCTGAGCTCAGTTTATCAGTGAGTGTGACTTAACAGGCTCTCGGTAGCCTCTGCTCCCCAACTTCTTGGTTTTTTCTTGGTTTTGCTTCCTGGAACAAGCAAAGAAGGAGCCATGTGGCTTAGGCTTCTAGCTCAGCAAATGCTGCAAGTGAATGGAATCTCTCCAAAAGGGAGATTTTAAAGCCTGCTTCTTTGCTAACCCAAAGATTGCATTAATTTATTTTTGTAAGGAAAAAAAGTCCTTTTCTTTTTAAGTCATTTGGAAACTTTTTTCATCAGTGTTTTACTGCTATCAGATGGAGACTTGTTTGCTGTAACTTCTGGAAACTCTTGTGAGTCAATCATTCACTTATTTAAAAAGTTCAGCCCAAGTATTTTCATGGGGAGTGTTTGCTTAAAGACTTATATAATGCATTTAGGTATGTTATTTTCACTAATATAGTCATCTTTATTCACATTTCTGCCTGATGTGTGCATTTTTGTAAACATTGTTTGGCTGGAAATCTGCACCACAAAATTCTGGGAGTGTGAATTTTAGAGGATCATAGAATTGTAGAGCTGGGACCCTGAGGGTCATCTATTCCAACCCTTGGAATGCAGGAATATGCAGGTGGCCCAGCTGAGGATTGAACTGGCAACCTTGGCGTTATCAGCACCATGCTCTAACCAGCTGAGCTAACTGGAGTTTATGGCTGTGTTTTAGTTGTCGCATGGTAAATTTGGTAAACTTGGCTTTAAATGAGAACTGAATGGAATCCCTACTCTCTGGCAAGTGGGATTAGAACTTCAGCCTGTCAGACACAACCCATCTTACATTTGTTCCCAAAGAGTTCTCTTCACATAATAGGTGCTGCATGCTAGTCTTGTGTTACAGCAAATTGGAGCCCTAATCAGTAACATAAAACACTTTTTTCATATCGGCAGTCATCCTTGCTGACATATATTCAATCCCAATGTTCACTGGTGAGCTAAAATGTGACGCTTCCTTCTTCAGATTGATACACATAATCCATTTCTGCAAGGCAAAGTTCTTAAAGAGCTGTATTGTGAAGTACACCTCTCTCTGCATTAGGTAAATAACATCATACCAGTCATTCCGTTCATTACATTCTGTTGATTATTGGAAAGGAAACAAGGCTTTCTCAGAAATAAAACCTTCCCAGGGAAAGCATTCTTTTCCTTCTTCCCCAAATTGGCTTTTAAATAGAGCTCTTCACATACATAGGCATGTAAGTGAACTTGGATTACAGGCTTGATTTTCATTCAGGGTCACATCTCACATTATAATCTCCCTGGTTATTAGTATTAATCATATCATAACTGATAAATGAGACATTAAAACAAAAGTTATATACCTCATCATGTATGAATTTATGAGCATTTGTTAGATTCCTGACGTATGCACCTAGACCAAACGCCCCTCCCATGCAGTCACTTTGCCATTCACACATTTGAAATGACATGTTTCCCCCCCTGACAATAATAGCTTAGGAAAGCAGTTTAGGAGCATCTTTTTATGCTAACGAGAAAAGAGGCAACTTTTATAGATCCCCTAAATGACTGTGCCCTAGAACAGTTGGTCCCAGAAATGACCAGAAGGGAATGACCCTGAACTTAGTCTCAAGTGGTAGCCATACCTGGCGTGAGATGTTGAACCAACTAGGAACAGTGACTACAGTGCTATAAAATTCAACATCTATGTAAGTGGGCAATTGCGAAGAAAACCCAGCACAGCTACAGAAGCATTAAATAACTATGCCCAGTGGCAAATATCCCCTTTGGGGGCAAAGTGCTTGAGAGGGTGGTAGTGGCCCAGCTGCAGGCCCAGTCATGGCACTGACTGAAACCATCTTGGTCATCCTTGTTGAGGACATTTGTCAGGAGAGAGCTGTAACCTGCCCTGGGATCTCATGGTCAATAGCATGAAAGAAATTGAAATAGTATATGTGTATTTATGGATTATGGACGGATGGATAGACGGACATAGATAAATCAGCCCCTGTACCTGGTAACTGGAAATTTAACATGATTTCTTAAAGAATCGATCCAGGGGGAAACTCAGGAAATACACGTCAGTTAGCTAATTGTTTTTTCAGGAAAACTGGTATACTAAAACATATACAGTGGTACCTGGGGTTAAGAACTTAATTCGTTTCGGAGGTCCGTTCTTAACCTGAAACTGTTCTTAACCTGAGGTACCACTTTAGCTAATGGGGCCTCCCGCTGCTGCTGTGCCGCTGCTGCACGATTTCTGTTCTCATCCTGAAGCAAAGTTCTTAACCCAAGGTAATATTTCTGGATTAGTGGAGTCTGTAACCTGAAGCATCTGTAACCTGAAGCATCTGTAACCCAAGGTACCACTGTAGAAGGACAAGTCTTGCTGAGGAAGAACCAGTATGGTTTCTGCAAGGATAAGTCCGGTCTCATAATACTAGAACCCAAGGCCATCCAATGAAGCTGTATGTATGAAAATTCAGAACAGACGGAAGGAAGTACTTCTTCAAACAGTGCATCATTACACTCTGGAATTCACTAACACAAGACACAGGCTACCAACCTGGATGGCTTTAAAAGTAGGCCAGACAAACTCATGGAGGACAAGGCTATTTGTGGCTACTAGCCATGATGGCAGTGTACTGTATCAGAAACAGCATGCCTTTGAATACCAGTTTCTGGGGAGTACAAGAGAGGAGTGTTGTTACATTTGTGTTCTGTTTGTGGGTTTCCCATAGGCATTTGTCTGTGAGTATAGGATACTGACCCTGATGGACTGATTCAGCAGGACTGTTCTTATGTTATTAAAATAATATTTTTAAATATACACGTATAGGGATCCTTAGCAATAACGTCAATTGTCCCGCTATCCTTAGCTATGGCTACATGTACTGAGAGGATTAAAGGAAAGTCCTGCTGTTTCATTCCTGGTCATTCCAAGGAAAGCTATCTCATTGCGTGAGCCAAATTCCCCGCCATGTCACATTACAGATTGGCAGCAGAAGTAATCCAAGAGAAATCTAAATCCTTGCTAATCAGGAGTGCCAGCACATGTTACAAATATGAGAGTGAAAATCTGAGATGGAGCTATCCTTTCTCTTGGCTCAACGGCTTAGTGCTAACAGCTATAAACTTTAGCTAATCACCCAGGCTTGCCCATGTTAGAATGAGCAGCACTTTATTAATCAGGCTTTCTGAAGATGGTAACAGCAATTTGATGGTGTAAGTCATTTGCTCTGTCTTTATAGCCTCCCCTTCATCCCAGGATTCAGGGTGGGGTGCAACAGAATTAAAACATTTGAAACAATTCACATACAATACAGTACATCCTTAAAATTACAATCCATAAAGACCCATAGACCTACAGAACAGGCTCCTTATTTTAATGCAGTAGTAAAAGTAATACTCACATTAATACTACCATACTAGTAACACTAATACTACAAAAGCCAGGCAAACAAGTCAGTCTTTACCTCGTGCCAAGATGACGTTTATGCTTCTAGAGGGAGGGCATTCCATAAGGAAGGATGACCATGGAGAAGGGACTATCCTGTGTCACCACATAATGCATTTCTCCTGGTGGTGGGAAGCAGAAGACACCTTCCTTCCTGAGATCTAACAACATGAGCAGGAGGCTGATACAGGGAGAGACATTTCTTCACATATTTGGGTCCCAAGTCATTTGGGACTTTATAGGTCAGCATGAATGACTTTCAATTCAGCCCTGAAGTACAAGTAGATCTTTTACAATCAGTGCTACATGATTCCAGCTGGCAACACCAGTTAACCTTCTGGCCACTGTATTCTGCACTGGCTGTAGCTTCCAGACCATCTCCCAGTGCAGCCTGATGTAAAGAACTTTACAATAATCCAAACAGGAAGTTACCCTACTGCTAGGAAGTGGTCAGACTATCTCTGTTCAGGAACAGCTGTGATTGATGAAGTACTCCATATCACCTGGACCTCAGGTAATCAAACTACACAATTGTTGGTTGAGGGAGAATGCAACCTCATCTAGAACAGGCAGTTTACCCACTTTCCAGGGGCGAGAACCATCCAGCCACAGATACATGTTGGGATTTGATTTCAGTAGTTTGGCATTCATCCAGCCCATTCTTCATTGCAGACACCGATCTTGCACCTGCAAGCATTACCATACTCTGACAACTGCAAGGAGATCATTGGCTCTATCCATAACCAAGACTGGATTACTGCAATGTGCTTTATGTGGGGTTTCCCTTGAGCTTGATCTGGAGCCTGCAGTTAGGGCAGAAGCATGATTGCTGAGAGACCTTGTTAATGTATAACACCTGTGCTCAGAGATCTGCACTGGTTGCATTTCTGCTACTGGGCTACATTCAAGGTATTGCTATTGGTATACATAATTTAGGCAGTGCAGCTGGAGGCATGTGATTGTCTCTTGACACCAACAGCTGAATGCGATACATTTAAGTATTCTTGCCTATAGTGTGTGCATCCTGCTATTATCTCCAGTCACAGGTGTTTCAGGTATTTGTAGTGTTCCAAAACCCTGTAAAACCTGTCTGATCAAAAATGACATAGGGACAAAATAAGTCAGTGTATACTGCCTTCAAATTTCTTGAATATGTTACCCCTTTCTGGCCTGAGTATATTGTTAAGTTAGAGATATCTGAAGGCTTGCAAGTCATGTTTTCCATCTGCGCCTCTCCACTGAGAATCATATTAACAGGGTCTTGATGACAATCTCTGCCAGAAGAGTTATGTGCAACTCAAAAGGTTTTTAATCTCAGCAACACAGATTGGCCTAATGAGTGTTATCCAAAACATTTAGAATCAGAAAATTCTGAAACATTTTAGCTGAAGCTTTTTAAAAAATGGCACTCACTTTTAAAATGTTCTTGAATTTAATAGAATTGCAATTATATAATAAATTAACTTATAGCTTTATAGTTAATATATTCTCTCCCCCCCCCCCACCGTTTAGCATTGACTTATGATATTCCTTCCTCGTAAATTACCTTTAGCCTCACACATACAAAATATCTATGGGCCTGAAAGTGATTTGCAAGCCTTAAGAGATTTTTAAAAAATAAAGTTTTTGTAATTGTCTGGTTTATGCATTTATTTTGTGAAGCTTCTTGGAACAAAGAGGGTCAAAGTTCTTTTTTCTTCAAATAAAAGTTGAGTTTATTATTTTAACACATGCCTCATGATCTCAATATTTTTTATAAAAAAAATATTCTTGCACTTATGAGACTTTGAATAAAAATTGTGACAGTTGGCAAACCTAAAAGCAAAAATACTGGGTCATCTGCTTATGGTAATAATGCTTGCAAAGCCATGTGTGCAGTTTTCCCTTTGAAGGCTGGTTACAGCATCAGCCCTGATCCTGCAAGCTGTTCCATGTGGAGAGACCCTGGTACTCATGCAATTATTTTTCCCTGGAGCTATACTGCTGTTTGTTATGTTTAGAAATAGTAGCTCTCGACATTAACAACAATACCAGTTTTAGGTTGATTTAGTGGAAGCATCCCTTTACAAAACAAGAAAGAATATTACAGACCTAGCTCTTGTGAAAGGTTTATCACAAGAAAAGATAGTAGCAGAGTCCTCTTGTTGCTTAGACTGGTGACCAAGCGTCAAGTGGAAATGTTTGTATTGATCATGGCCAATTGATTATTATAAGAAGCGTCTAGTTTCCCTG